CTCTTCCGAGAAGGAGCACCTTCGTGCGTGAAACCCTCTCTCTGGAGGAATCCCCCTGTGGATTTGTTTGCCCATGAAGCACAGTCTCTCTTGCCTCACTCTCTCCCATCATAGCATAGGTACCATCATAGCAAGGTACCAAAACCTTGCCTGGTGCTATTGTTGTGGCATCTACAGGGAGATTTGTCCCGGCTGCCAGCCCTAATCCTAAAGCGCTTTGCAGAATTAAACTGATATAGAAACCTTATTTATAATGATAATACAGCAAAACCCAGATTATCTGCACTCTTATTTATTACTGAAGTTAACAAGTTGATGATGTGGAGCTGCATGGCCTTGCTTGGGGGTAGCCCAAAAAAAGTCTCTCCTTTTGTTTGCTGTGCAGTCGATAGATGTTCCTGTCGATTTATTGTTTATTTATCTGAAGGCTTCAGGCATCCTCTAGACCTTTATGTAATCATTTTCCTCTTAGCTTGTGCTTTTTCGTGTTTGCAGTGCCCTGTGCCTTACAGGGCCTCCTGAGCACTGAATCCAGACAGCCTGTGGCATGAGCAAGGAAAGGCAGGTCCCTGCACCCCTTTTTTTTTTCCTGGGTGTCCCTATTCATCATCTTTCCTTCTTTCCCCCTGCTCTTTCACTCTGGGACGGTACTTTTGTGGCATGGAGGTATGGTCATGTGGCTGCGGCTGTGTCTGGCCTTGGTCGCTGGTTCTGGTGAGACATGAGTGCCTCTGGCTGTAGGCAGGGCTGATCTGTGGAGCTTGTGGTCATTTCCATGGGGACAGGTACCTCGAGGAAGAGCTTTGACTGTATGGATTTAGAAACGGCGTCAATTAATGTGGTCTGCCAGCATCTTGGGCCTGGGGGAGCTGAAACGAAGTCAGCGCATCCCGCTTTGCTGGAAGAGCACTCTGCAGGGGCATGTGGAGAGCGACTGAGAGGACGTGGACTTCCCAGCCATCCCTGAACCACACTCTGCTGCTCACCAATAACCAGCCCAGTTTGGCAAATCCCAGAGCCAGAGTTCCTTGTTCCACAGCTCCCAAACACGGCAGAAGCGCACAGGCGGCGGGATGTACGGGTTCCTCTTTTAGGCAAACGGATGAGGGATATCCTCTTCTCTCATACCCGCTTTTTGCTTACTCACTTTTCTTGCAGCGCTTTGGAACAGGCGCTTCGTAATAAAACAAGTATTAGAGCTCTTTCCTCCCTCGCTGGTTGTACAGTTACTGCAGTAAACTCAGATGAAAGGAGATTTGTTCCTCCCGTTTATCGCCCCAGTACTCCAGTGTATTGGCTTTGAAGAGAAATATCGCAGGTCGTCAGTGTCAAGCGAGTGAATGAGCGCTGAAGGGAGAAAAAGTCCCTTAAAACCAGAGCTGATCTGAGCGATTCCTGTTCAGGATTCCTGGAAGTCCCTTGGCCTGTGACTGATGTCCTTGCTCGTTCCCTCTTTCTCCTTAAAATACCTCCCGTCCCTTTTGTTTGCACCTGTGGAGATGCTCCCAGGCAGTCTGCTTTATCTCCTCTCTCCCAAATGCAACACACAGGTTTTATGGCAACTCTTGTCTTGCTTTTATTTATGCATGTTCTTTGTCCTGTTTTATAATTTAGATAGTAAACTGGCAGAAGACCTTGTTTCCTGTAATCTCTTTAAAGTGCTCTGCAAAGCTATAAAACGATAAAGATGTTAAGGGCCTTTTCTGATGCCAGAGACGACCAGACTTTCTACTCAAATTTTAAATGGATATTTAACAACTCCAGCGTTATTGTGAACAATTCCCTGTTAATCCCCCACAGTGAATTTTTACACCCTTGCTTTGTGTGGTTTTGTGTTTCCCCTCTATTAATGTAACGTTGTTTCTTACTTTGAAAGAGGACGCTGACATTATGCCGTGCAGCTTGTGTTCTTTGCCTTGCTTTAGGTTTGTTTTCCTGTGATTTATCAAAAAAAAAAGTTTGAGCTGTTGGCTATCAATGCTAATTTTGGGCAGGAGCCAAATACGTAGAAATTGAGGTTCTTTATGCTTTAGAGCAGCATTAAAAAGCTGCCTTGAAAATTTGGAATTTTAGGTTAGTGGATTCCTTTTTTCTGTTGTTGTTGGGTTTTATTTTTGTTCCGTAAGTTGCATAAATGAGCTCAAGTGGGAGACTATAATTTGGCTGCGGATGGATTGCTCTTAACGAGGTTGTTAAGAGGCGATGCTGACTTGTTTGCAGAAAGCTTCAGGTTCTACAGTGGAACGCTGCTTATTTTTCTGCCTCTGCCCGGACTGTGGCAGACACAGCTATCTCTAAATATAGCAGCAAGTACTGTGGTCTTGCTTTCACTGTGGGCAGTTTATTTATCTCTGGTAGTAGTAACCAGGGCAGGCTTTTATCTCTCTTTGCCCTGACACAGATGCATCAGCAGGACTCTGAAAAAGAGCTTGACCGCATCCCACTGTTGCTTTTTAGCCCGACTCTTGGCAGATTATAAATCCAGATCCGCATTATGGTGATTCTTTGACTGGTTCAAACTGAAAATTAATAAATTGCATAGTGGGTGGACTTTTTTTCTTTTTATTTTAATATCTCAATTTGTGCTAAGCTCTGTTTTTCTTTCTCAGTCAGATTCAGAGGAAGATGAACCAGCAAAGAAGAAAAATACTCTTCAGGTAAATACGTAGGATATTCAATTAAACAAGTTTCACGGGAAAGAAACATCTGACTGTGACAGACCTTGGGCTTCCACTAGTGTAAATCAGCCACTCTGTTTCGTGTGTGGCTTTTAGTGTATAAAATTCCTGAAATCCCCTGGGATGTCAAGTCCTTTATTTGGGGGGGGGCGCGCGCACAATTTCATAAATTTAAATCTCAAAAAAATAGGCATTAATTTGAGAAGTTGGCAGATATTTGCCACATTTTCCTTAAAAGTCCCACTGGCCTTTTGTGCAAGAAAGCCCTGCAGCGTCTTCGAAGTAACAAACGATTGTGCTAAGCAATGGGAAACCCATGAATGTTGTTAGAATTGGAGGAGATAATTGGCAGGGAGTCAGGAAAATGAAAACAGTCTCATGCATTTCTCTTTATTTCTGTGAACTATTTGCCCTTCATGAAACACCAGGGACGCGGCGAGGGCTCTGGCTTGTCCGCTTTGCTTCCTCAACCCAAAAACTTGACGGTGAAAGAGACCAGTCGGTTACTTTTGCCCTACGCTTTCTCGAGGAAAGGAGGAGAAAACGCCTCTGACTCAAAGCCTGCTAAAGCCCCGACCTCTTCCTCCAAAACAAAACCTCTGTCCAAGCCAGCGGTGCCCACAACTCCTTCTCCATCTGCTATCAAAGCTGCTGCCAAGAGCGCTGCCCTGCAGGTAACCAAGCAGATCACGCAGGAAGAGGACGACAGCGATGAAGAGGTCGAGCCAGAGAACTACTTCTCCTTGTCTGACAGGAGCGAGCCCAGCGTCGTGGGTGCCGAGACGTACATGTACTCTGGCACGGTGGTGTCAGAGGACCCACCGCCTGGGACAGAGACAGAGCCCCAATTCCAGGACGCTGCTGCTAACGCCCCTCTGGAGTTCAAGACGGGCGCGGGCTCCAGCAGTGCTCAGCACAGCTGGGCGCCCAAACCTGGAGAAGACTACGGCAGCCAGCCGTACAGCCAGTTCTCTGCCTACAGCGAGGCCGGCGTGGCTGGTGCATATTATCAGGTGGGTGCCCTGACTGGTGACAGTGTGCTGATGGCTTGATGGTGCTGCTCTAAAAAGGCATCTAAGACGAGGTGCTCCAAATGACTTACTGGAGCAGGCTGTGCCTTGTGGGAATCTAACCCGTCTGAGCTAGCTGGGACAAAGAGCAGAGATCCACAGCACTTAGCACAACGGAATTCTTCTGGCACAAGAGCCATAGATGCTTTTTGCTGGATAAATGTTTAATCGCTGCACTCATTTCAAAATGCCCCTGTGCAACTGCCCCTGTTGTTGTCAGGGTGCAGAATCGGGGCTCGCCAGAGCTGGTGTCTGAATCCAGGTTCTTTCTAGTAATTCAGCAAAGTATTTGTTGTTGAGCACCTCTGGAAAAAATGCCCTGTACTCTTCAGTGGTGCCAGAGTAATGAGATGTGATTAATGACTACTTTGGTCAGCCTTGGGAGGAGGTACCTGCGTAACGTACTGTACTCTGCAGAGGCTGAGAGAAACACCTCTAGGTGAAACAGCAGCTGCTCACGGGGCGAGGTACGCGATTCAGCGCTCCGTCTTGGGGCCTCTGTATTCGGTTGCTCCGGGATCGATCTTGCTTCACTCTCGTGACAAACTGGTTTTCCTTTTGCTGACAGGATTACTACAGTGGCGGGTACTACCAGGAGATGGAACCAGCCCAGGCACCGCCGCAGGAGATGAGCACCGACTCCTCCTTCATAGATGACGAAGCGGTTGGCACTTTATTATCTCTCCCGCTGTGGAGTTTGCGTTTAAGCTCTGTTTGAACATAGGACCCACTTGGCAGCCATGGTCCTGCACCAGCAGCATGACCTGTGCTTCGTGCTGAGCTGGACCGGGTGGTTGTTCCGTGGGGCCTAGTGCTGTGTTGTGGACGCATGCGGTGTCCTTCCAGCAATTCTCCTGGGCTCCTGCTCCAGACGGGTTCACTTGCTTTATAAGTAGGCGATGTTTGTTATTTCCACTGAGCCCAGTCTTGTTCTCGTGAAGGCTGTCTAGGGCAGGCAAGGAGCATGGAGGGAAGATGTTGCTTACTGAGGTGCAGATGAGCTACCGTTCAGATACCTTCACAGTACATCCTCTGGCACTTATTTCAAATGCTCAAAAAACGGTTTTAAAAAACCCTTTTCCAGTGCTGATCTAATTTAGAAACTGCCAGCCTGGTTAGCTGAGCCGGTCAGTGCTGCAGAAGACAGTGGCCTGTCTGGTGCTCACTTCTTCGAGGGACCTCTGTGCTTTGGAGGTGGATTTGTGTTATGGGAGATGGATGTGTTAGCAGCAAAACTTCAGGTGCCTCCCTAGCACTTAAAATGAGAGACCTAGGAGTCTGAGGGTCTTCTGAGCAAGACTGAAAGCAAGAGCAAATTCTGTCTTCCCTTCTGCATAGGAAAATGAGATTATAACCTTCATGCTAAGTGGTTTGAAGATGCTCTGATCCATGGCAAAGCAGAACTTCCCTGAAGGAAAAAATCCTGGCTGGAAAAACGCTTGTTGATGTGGCTGGTCCCAGGCTCGGGGAGCTAAGGATCAGACCCCATCTACCTTCACTTGTTTCAGGTTAGCGTTGGTGCATAACGTGCCAGTGTAACTCCGGTTGCTTCTGTTCTCCTTTCAGTTCAAGCGTCTGCAAGGCAAGCGGAATCGCGGGAGGGAAGAGATCAACTTTGTGGATATCAAAGGTGACGATCAGCTGAGCGGAGCCCAGCAGTGGCTGACCAAATCCTTGACAGAGGAGAAGACCATGAAATCGTTCAGCAAGGTACGGGCAGGAAGGGAGGAGTGCTGGCCGGGGTTTTGGAGACCTCTGTTCAGTTCTCGTTTCAGCCACAGCTGGAGCAGTATTGGATGCTGTGCAGCCACCAGGGTGGGGGGACAGGGACCCTTGTGTTGTGTATTGTGTAAATAATTACACATGAGAGTGGTAAAGCTTCTCAAAACATAGTCCTAGTGTGCAGGTGGTAAAGACCAGCCAGGAACTGCTTCAGCCCAGAGCTGTTTAATATGAAACAAATGCTTCTTGAAATGGCTTATGCAAGCTCTTGTCTTGTCTGGGTCAGTATCTTTCCAGGCTTAACAGTTCGCCTGCTTTTGCTTTCTAGAAAAAAGGAGATCAACCCACGGGCCAGCAGAGGAGAAAACACCAGATCACGTACCTGATCCATCAGGTGAGTGGTCTCCCTCTAGCCTGGAAACTGATGCAGGCAGAGTTACAAGGCTTGATGCTTGGCAGCACGAGGCGGTGCTGGTGGAGCTGCTCTGCCAGCAGCTGGGGACCAGGGGCTGTCCCTGAGCCTGGTCCTCCCCTCACCCTGAGCCCCCGGTGAGACCTGCAGCAGCTCTGACGGGGACTGTCCGGGCCACCACCGGCCCAAATAGCCTTGTGGCAGCAGCGCCTTGGCCCCGAGGGTGTGTTGGCACCGAGCTCCTTGCTTGCTTTTTGCTTTGCTTCGCTCTTCCCCTCCCGCCCAGCTCCAGCGCCTGCGTGGTTGTCTGCGTTAGGAGACTCTCTGCTTCCTGTCCTAATTCTGCGCTGCTGCCGCGTGGTTAGTAAGCGGTTGCTGAGACCGTCGCACAAGGGAAGCCGCGTTTCAGCATGAATGAAATGCCTGTGCATCCCAATTAATTCAGGCCTCTGTCAAGATAATTGTGCTAACTCCCATAACAAGGCTTCTCGCTGAAGTGCTCTGTAATCCCCATCAGCAGGGGCAGAGGAGGGTGAGATACTGCTGAGTCAGCAAGCAGCAACGCTGATGTTAATCCTCTCCATTTCTGCAGGCGAAGGAAAGAGAACTGGAACTGAAAAACACGTGGTCTGAAAACAAGCTCAGCCGACGTCAGACTCAAGCCAAATACGGATTCTAACACCTCTGTCCCACTTTTTGGCTCTTGTCCCAGGTGACCTACTGTGTCAGCCTTTTCCTGGCCTTCTGGAGATCAAGCAGGCCCCGTGTAGAACGTGGTCTGCTCGGTGGGTGGGAGGATACTGCGCTCCCCCGCCTGTCAGGAGAAAGGTTTAATGCAAACCGGTCCTGAAACTCCACCTGTAATCTTTCCCTCCCTCCTTCTCAACGCTAATGTGGAAGGTTCACATCGAGTCTGTTTTGTATGACGTGACAGTCCCACGGCAGCCTCAGGAAAGGTGCCTGGTGCAAGGCTCGGAGCTCTTGTCCTGTAGGTACCGGTGCTACTCCTTTGACATAGCCTCGCCACTGGAACCTTAGGCAGAGTCTCAATAAACTTCCAGTTCCCACTTTGCTCCTTTCCTGGACTTGCTGTGCGTTGAGAGTGTAATTTTTCTTTCTAAAAGACAGTGAGTTTCAAGAGCAAGCCTGGCTTTTCTGTTCTTTTTTTGTCTTTTTATTTGAGACGTCCTCATGGCTGCTGACTCATGTCCAAGTGAATCCAGTGCTCCTCTCATGCGAACGATTTTGATACTTTTTTTTTTTTAAAGTGTGGCTAAGTTAGTGTTTTTCTTCTCAGCTCCACCGGCCTGTATGTCTCGAACCGTGCTGAGGGGAAACTCGTTTGCAGGTCAGAGTTTGCAATAGAGGTGAAAACGCCCTGAGTGTGGAACGCACAAAAAGCAGTGAGCATCTCTCGCCCAGCACGAGGCGCTGCTGAGGGCTTTTGGATAAACCTGATCGATGTGTGTATGTACGTTTCTCTTTGTTTTTTTTTTTTTTTCCCCTCCCCTCTTTCCTCCTCCCCCTGACCCAAGGCCTACAGTGCTGTACCGGGCTGCTCTCCAGACTTGTAGAACCGAGTATCCCAGCCTCGCACGGTGCAGTGCAGCTGGCAGTGAGCTCGGCGAGTGAAGCAGCGGTATTTCCTCTGAGCAGGCACAGGTGAAAGCTGCCAACTCCGCATTTATTTCTTTTTTCCAGCTTGTTTGTATCAGTTCTGTTTCAATTAAGTATTAACTTTACCCTCCTGGCTGGGAAGAAGAGACTGTGTCCGGCCTTAACTTTTAAAAAAGAAGTCTTTCTTTTATTTAAGGTATTAGGTTTAGGCGATACGACTGCAAATCATGTGCAGCCTTGCTGGCCAGATCCACTTATCTTTAGCCAAATCTCTGTGGCCTCGTTTGGTTTGTTGTTCGCAAAAGCGTGTGATGCCGAAGGGAAGAGAGCTGGTCTGGTTATTTAACTGACATTCCCACCACTAAGGGTTATATTTGTTGTAACCGCAGCTAAAACGGCTAATATTTGTTATTTCATTTAGAAAAACTCCCAAGAGGTGGTTTTTCTCCCATGTTACCTGTTAAAACCAAGCAAACAACCCCCCATGAATGAAGTCTTTTCTTAGCATATTTTAAAATAATATGATTTCTAGTTTAGTTCCCTGGATGTTTTAGTACTTTGCGGAGCCCATTTTGAGTATTTGAATGACCAGAATAAACTTACTGTTGAGTAATTTATTCATATCTTATATGTACAGCAAAATCCTCTGAAAAGAGATTTGATAAAAGGAATAAACTTTTAAATGAACCGAACCACACCTGTTTCCGTCGCGAGGTGCTCGACTCCTTGCTTGAGGCATTGGTTTTCCTTCTTCCCTCCCCGGGAAGGCCGAAGCACCTTCGCGGCAGCCCGCGTTTCAGAGGCGGCTGCCTCGCTTTATTCGCAGAGCGGATGGTGTTGCGCAGCCCGCGGCGAAACGCTCGGCCGAGGGAGTTTACTACGCGCAGCCCATCCGGAGTGCGAACGCCAGCGGTGGCTCGTGGATTCATCCAACTCTGAGCCTTGTCTGCGGTGTTGGCGCTCGGAGCACAGCGAGGCAGCTCCCGCCGGCGGCGCTTGGAGGGCGTCGCTGCAGCGTTGGCGGCTCGCACGCTCCGCTTCTGCGGCCTTGGCGGGATTGTGGAGTCCTGGAGTGAGCCGAGAGGCTGAAGCTCACGGGTTGCCCTTTTCTTCTTCCATTTCAGCGTGTAATGGCTCATTTTTAGCACTAGAGGGGAGTTACGAGGACGGGAATCGCGACTCTGCTTTTAGCCATTTAAGAGCAACAAAATGTAGGCTTGTGAAAAGCGAAAGGGACCTTTCCAAGAGGTAAAACACCCCCAACCCCACAGCCCTCCCTTTCCCTCCCTGTCCTGAAGCTCTAACGTGTCTCGGCGTGCCCCTTGGGCTCTCCCCATGCGCTTTCTGCTCCGTTTAAGGCCGGGTGCGCCAGCACTGCTGCAGGAACGACGTCGGCTCGGTGTTTTGGGCGGGGGCCAGGGCTGGCACTGCCACAGAGCAGCCCTGAGTCGGTGTCACCGCCCCAGCGGCTGAATTTGGTCCTCGGGTTTTTGTGCTATCCCGTGTTTTGTGGCTGAGGAAACGGGGCTTGGTGGTGTCGGCACTGGGC